CCCCCCCCCCCCCCCCCCGCCAAGTACGTCAACTCAGCTAGAGTCCAAATCATGTCAAGTGCCCAAGAGGGAGATGACACGTCACTCTCCTAGAACTGAAAACACGGGGATTCTGTGGATCCAGAGAAAGGAGCATCTGTCCTAAAGAGCCCCAGGCCTTCCTATGTCCGTGGGTAGTGTGGGTGGTGGGTTTGGGCCTGGCAAGACGGGTTCTATTGTTAAAAAAAAAAATGCTTCTAGTTTCTTTCGGATTGTGCAACTTCTCCTGGCTTGAGTATTTGCTGCACAGTGGGAGGGAACACTAAAGAACTAGGCAGAAGGTACCAGTCCAGGTGCGCTATTCTGGCTCCTACAGCGCCAGCTCCTCCTGGATGACTGCCTCCTCTCCCTTTCCCCGCTATTTAAATATTCAGTTGCTGGTCTTCAGAGAAAGCTACCAACTTCTTCCTCTCCTCTTCGCGTGTCCCCACCGCGCCCAGAGTCTGACCTGAGACTGAGCCTTGAGCTGATTCAGGATGTCCTGCATCTCCTCCTTCTGTTTGTTGCAGGGAACCTTCGGTAGTTTGATAGCGCAGCTGCTGTTGAGGTTTCCGCACAGATACTTCGCCATGCCCGCGCTCCCGCTGACAGCACACTTGTAGAAGGAGCCCCCTAGCAGCGCCACCGCCACCCAGGTGAGGGGCGCGAGCACGGCGGCCAGGTTGATCTGCAAGCATGTCAATGCGCTGTGCGACCCGGAGCTGGAACTCGTGCTCCAGGAGCAGCAGCCGGTGAGCAGGCGCCAGGTGCGCGTGTTCAGCGCGTAGCCCATGAGAAAGAGTGCAAGCGCGGGCACCAACAGGAACACCAGGCCATATGGCAGGTTCCAGGTAGCGTTGCAGGGACACTGAAACACCACCTGGGAGAAGATCTTCTCCCCACCCACCGTCAACAGGGTCACCAAGCCATAGCCCAGGGTGCTGCGGTGCTTGCTCTGCAGCAGTTCCAGCACTGCCTTGAACTTCTCCATGGATTCTGTTCACCCTGGGCACCCTGCTGGGTCCAGAAGCTTCAGTTCTGCTCTGTGAGTCGGGAGGGTTGAGTGAACCGGGTCTGGGACTTTACACTCTGCTTTGAAGCAACTGTATAGAAAGGGAAGAGGGCTTCTCAGCCCTCCCAGGGTTTCACTTTCCTTTTCAACCAAAGTAGCTCTGACATGGGCCCATGAATATGCCCCCAGATCCTTGACTTCCTGGGACCCCACTCCACATCCAAAGATTGAAGGGAGCAGAGGAAGCCCTGAGTGAGAGTTGTGAATGACTGTATGTTGACATGTGCAGCCTGTTGAGGACTCCTATACCAATTGATCTATTGTAAATTGGCAAAGCCATTATCCATACTTGTCAGGGTTAAGAGTATTGGCAAGGCTTTCTTTCTGAGTCTTAGTATGCGTGTTTATAAACATTTGATCTTAGAGTGCAAGACTAGTAACTGCAGCTTTCTCCTGGAAGTTTATAGGCTGTGAAAGTTGACCTACAGAGGTGACTTTCCTGTCTAACCCCTCACCCTAATATACAAGCTAAGATTTGGGGAGACCCCCACCTGATCTCAGCTGCATCCCATGGCTGTCTCTTGCCTGTCCTTTATTTATTTATCTCTCGGCCTCTAGCCAGTCTTCCAGGATCCAAGGTACAAAGGACAGAGCAGAAGGCCCTGGTCACACTGTTCCATCAGTTCTGGAACTCTACCAGAGCAACTCTGTTTGCTCCAAACCAACATGACTTCTTACAATGTAGCCAGCTGATCAAAATAAGAAAGCTGATCAAAATAAAAGGGTTGAATTCCCTCTTATTGTTGCAATCCTAATTCCTAAACTAACAACCGATGGCAAAAAATCATGCCATTTACAGGAAGCAGAGACAAACTTATTCATTTTCCTTCAAAAGCTGAACGATAGAAAAACTGCAAATGAAGTAAAGTTCTAATTCTTCTGTATGATGCTCCCTCTCCAGTATGGGGGTGCTAGGTTAGTTTTTGCTGACCCCCCCGCACACTTTCTCTCTCCAGGATCCCCAAAGGCTGAATGTACTGTTAATTAACTCTTTAGTATAATGGATATCTTTCACAGGTATGCCACAACAGTATCTGTACCTCCAGGGATGTCAAATGATTGCTTCATGACCACAGACCATCAGCACAGGGGAGGGTGTATGGCTACTCAAAAAACACCGAGAGACTGGAGTTGGTGGTGCTAATACAGCAC